CCGCTCCCTGGGAACCAGCTGCAGCTCAAGGGAAGAGAAGAGCAAAAAGCCCAGCAGAAGGGCTGGGGAGCAGCTGAAAGCTCTCAAGGGAGAACATTCTTCCCATCATCCCAAGCCTAAGATAAATATTTCTCCCGAAGACTAATAGTTCTCCCAGCCACAAGCTGTCCCAGCTGGATGCTGCTGCTACATCTCTTAAGGTGCTCGCTAAAAGCTCCCTCCAAGTGCTCCCCATCTCCTTTAGCTGGGAGGTTGGACATGTCAGGGGAGAGGGTCTGGGGACCCATTTTTGGAGGTGGGAACCCACCTTTTGCACATAGGTGTAGAGCTCTTGTGAGTCCGCGACGTGGTGGTGCTCAGGCTTGCCCAGGCGGTGCCGGATGGTGTAGAGGACCTCCTCATAGAGCAGGGCCAGCTGTGGGAGGGGGAGCACCAACACCTCACATGAGGACAGGTCAGTGGGGATTTGCTCCATGCATCTCCAAGATTAGCAGGGTGTCCCTCCTCACCAGCCCCCCCAGGTTCCCTGCCACCCGCCTCCCAGCACCCAGCCCGGCCCAGCCATCACCAGCCATCCCTGGGGAGCATCTTCAGAAGCTGAGCCACATCCCTGAGCCCCAGCAGCCCTGCCACCCCCTCCAGTGCCACCAAGGGAGACCGTGGCAGGGCTACACTCATACCTCTCTCTTGGAGAACCGGTGGGACAAATCCATCTGGAGAAAGAGAGAAGCAGAGAGGTTTCCCGTCAGGTCTCATGGTAGAGGGTGGGTTTAGGAGGAACCTGCAGCTGGGCAGGGCTGGGCAGGGGTGGCATCACCTGTAGCCCATCAGGGTGGGATGCTCCAAAGGATGCCATGATACCCCACGGCCAAAGGACCACTTCCTCCATCACCCACCAGCAAGACAGCACAGGGTCTTCACTGCTGAGCCCCATTAATCAAGGAGGTGGTGACAGGGACAGCAACAACAATTTGGGGTGAGCCATAGGAGGCTTTAAAAACCATTCACCAGCCTCTCACCCCACAGAGCTGCTAGCTGGCACAGCCAGGTCCAGCAGGATCAGGCTGGAGAGTAACCAGCCAAGGGAGAGGGCAAGTGGCCAAAGCACAGTGAGGAGCTGCAGGCTGGGCAAGGCAGCTATGGGCAAGGAAACACCAAAAAGCCACCAGGATTTGTGATTTGAGTCCCCTTGCTGGAAAGAAAACTGAGCACTGCTGCAACGGTACATTGCTCATTGTCAAGCTGAAGGTCCATCCCCACTTGAAGGATGATCAGCAACAGCATTTACTTTCCAAAAGGGAATTAAATTTAAATGGTGCCACACAACGAAGCACAGCCCAGCCTCAGTGGCACTCAGCCCCAGGGCTGGCCAGGGGGTCCTGCTGCCCATGCAGCCCCTGTCATCCTCCACATCAAATGTCACCTCCCACTCATCTGGGCTGGGAGATCAAACCACCTGTGCCAAAAATGCCCTTTTTCCTGGCAAACCCAAGCTCTCAGCCCATCCTCACCCCCTGTTCCCTCCCTGACACCAAGACTGAGCCTATCCTGCATCTGCTTCTCTAACCACGATCTGGATTTGGCCACAACCACAGCTGAGCAACTTGTTCCTGCTGTGGAGCCTGGCTGGGTGACGGTGACTTTGTCACTGCCACGAGCTGGGTGACACAGACAGCAGGAGGGGGAGCGGTGCCCCTGTGCCATCCATCCATTAGAGCCCCCAGTGCTGGAGCCTCTGGGAGTACAGTGGGGCAAGGCCAAAAAATAATGGAAATTTTAAAAATAAAAGGGGTGTGTGGCAAGGGGTGCACACCGAGCACAGCCCCAGCACCCCGCTCAGCCAGGGCTGGTGGGGACAGAAGGACAGACAGACCAGCCCTACCTGTGAGTCAGCCCAGGCCCTGAAATGACCTTAGGATCCCTTTAAAAAAAACCCCAAACAACCCACCACCCCCAGGTGGAACATTAACATTTGCTCATGGCAAATCTAGGGCTGGCCTAATCCCCCAGCCATCTGGACTGAACTCAACTCTTCCACCCCAAGGCCAGTTTAACCCTCCAGCTGCTTCTCTCCCACCTGCCTCCACCTCCCTTCTTGTCATTGCTGGTGGGTGCTGGGGGCTGCAGTGGCTCAGCCCCACCCTGTGAAAGGGGAACAGACCCCTTACAACCAGGAGAGCCCCTGCCCAGGGGATTGTCCACCTTCTGCTGCTCCCAACACCGTTCTGCCTGCACCAGGGCACGGCCCCATCCCAAATCCTTCAGCATCCCCATGGGCAGGGTCACAAGCACAGAGGGGACAGAAAAAGGACTTTATTTCTCTGGTGCTGTTACTTCTCAGCAAGGCACAAGCATCTGCTCCTGGCCCAGCAGTGGAGCAGCACGAGAGGGCAGGGGGGGATCACTGCTGATTTGGGGAGCAGCTCCCTGTTGCTCCCTTCTGCCATGGGGGGTGGCTGCTGCGGGATCTGCTTTGTGCTCGCCCATGTGCGTGTGGGGTGGGTTGAACCAAAGCTGAGCTGAGCCTCCAGGATACTCCAGTTACTGCCACTAATCCCCAGGCCAAGAGTCCAGCTCAAATCCAGGAGCATTCCTTAAATCCAGGTCCAGACCCAGCCACCAGCATCCCCCCCACCCCATTAGCTGCAGCAGCATCACCAGTGCAGAAGGCCAGCTTGGCTGCAAAGATGTTGATGCTTAGGATGGAGAACAAGTCCCTGGGGGTGGGACACCACCAGGACAGATTGTCCCAGGAGTCCAGCACGGGGGATCATGCCCACATGCTCCCAGCAGCGCTGGGCAGAGGTGGGCAGAGCTGTGGGTCCCATCTCCACGGTGGCAGACACGGGGACAGCATCTGTCCAGCCACTGCAGAGGAAGTGGGTTGGGTTGGGTTGGCCAACAGAAGGGTTTTGGGGGATCTGCTGGCAGCATGGAGCCCAGAGGGGCTGGGAGGTGCTGGAAAGCTGTAGCCGAGCTAAGAGGGGACCCTCAGTGCCAGCACAGAGCTGCAGCCATGTCAACCCCCCACACAGCCCTTGGGTGCGTGTTCGCATGGGTGCCCCCCCCCTTGCATCCCCACCCTCACAAAGCCTCCCAGCTGAGACACGGACTCGGCCATATTTCTCTCATTCCCCTTTTACAGCCTCAGCACCCAGCTCTGCACCCCGGGGTCCCTCAGACACATCCAACTCTGACCCCTCCCCAAGGCCATCACGCCCCAAACACACTCCCCAGCGCCCCAGGGTCAAGACCACCTACCTCGGGGCTCTCCTCCCCAGGGAGGGTCCCCACAGGGGTCTTGCCAGCAGCATCCATCCCGGGGAGAGGCTCGGCACGGTGCAAGGGAGCGGCTGCAGCTCTGCCACCTCTCCCCCTCGCTCACAGGCTCAGAGGAAACCACAGACCTTATCTCACCGTGGCCATGTGAAGAAGCGGAAGCGTGCACAGGCCTCCTTCGAGAGCAGCACGGGGACGCAGGCGCCCTGGTCCCACTTCCCAACACCCTGTCCTGCACGGGTAGCCCTTGGGCAATGGGGACTTGGAGGCACAGACTGGATGGAGATGTTACGTCCAGTCCCTGCTATTATTTATGAGTGTGGAATTGGGAGCAAGTGGGCAAAAATAGTCCTGAGAAGGCAAAGCCCAGCTGGGAAATGGGGTGGTGGGGAGAATGGGTGGGGGTAATGTGGAGGATCTGGGCTCTGGTGTGTATTTGGGATCCATCATACCCTGTGAGCGCAGATGGGGACCCCACAGAAGGCAGAAGTCATCTTCAGCCCCAGGAGATGGAGGGGATTTGAAACCTGGTGCAAAAGCTGCAGGGTGGGAAATCCCTGAGGCTCCTGGGTACGTTGGACAAGGTTGGGCTGAGAACTGATGCAGTTAGTGCATGTGCTGGGGATGTCACTGGGAAAGGACACGTGGCCATTTCCCCAAACGGGCTGTCTAGGCTGAGGTAATTACTGAGAAAAAAACCAGCAGGAAATGGAGTTTAAAACTTACTCTTTACTGTCACCTCTCACTCCTGTAAACACTTCATCTGATTGCAGCTCGCAAGGCAGTTGCCTATCACAGAGCAGCAGCAGCACCCTCCCCTCACAGATCCCTATCGATGGTAAACGGGGTGGGGGAAGGTGCGGGTGGGCATCAGGAAGAGCCACAGCCCAGGAGACGACCAAGGGAAGAGCTGATTTGCTCCAGGATGTCTGATGTACTGACACACACAGCAAAGAGCAGCCTCGGGTGCGGGTTTGGAGGGGCTGCTGAGCTGCACCAGCATTTGTGGATGCACCCACCAGGATGTCTGATGTACTGACACACACAGCAAAGAGCAGCCTCGGGTGCGGGTTTGGAGGACCCACAGCCTGGGGAAGGACTTCAGCCTGTGCTCGAGACTTGGATGTCACTGCTACAAGAGGAGTTTGGCTTTCCAGCCTTCCTGCTGGCCCCCAGACACTCCTGGAAGTCATAAACAAGATGTTTCAGATGCAATACAGGAGGCAGAGGCTCCACATCAGGTTTCGTGGTGCCTGCGTAGCTCATCAGGGATTTCTGCTTAATCCAAACAGGAAACCGTGACCATGGAAATGGCACTGGAAAATTTGTCTCCTTAACTATCATATGAGGAATTGCGAAGAGATGACTCCAGTAGCAGGGAGGTACCTGCGTGGAGGTACCTGGTAGCACACCAGCTCAAACCAGAGCTGCAGAAGGATGCTGACAGCAGCATCCCTGCAAGAGGGCAGGAGGGATGCAGGCAGCCAGTCCCTGTCATCCCTGTAGTCACCTAGTCCCTTAATTAAGACAGGTTGCACTGTCCTAGCTGCTTGAGGGGGATACAACTTCCCTTTGCCCTGAAACCCTGTAAGAACAGGTTATACTGGCAAAAGGGGCTCCCTGAAATTGGGGGAACAGGAGATGGAAAAAGGGCTGCCAGTGGATGTGGGGGGCAGGTTTTCTTTATCCAGGTCACCCAGAATAGGATCAGGGCTGTGAGGGGTTGCACAGCAAGTTGCCAGGGCAGGGAGATGCTGAGCTGATCTACTGAATAAAAATCCAGAGATACAGCGAGACAACGAGAAGCTGAAGCGCATCCCTGCTGTCACAGCCATCATTCACCCCTCGAGGTCTGGAAAAAGCTGCTCATTACACTTCTGCTCACTCCCGTGTCAGGAGGGCTCTTGTGTAACTGTCCCCAGGCACTGGCGCAGTAGCCCCGAGGAACTGGGCTTCACCATCACTTCCTCTGCGCTCCCCAGTTTGGTGGTGGAGCCGCCTCGTGAAGTGCACATCCCCTCTGCTGGCAGAGATGCTCGGAGGTGCTTGCCCAGCCCTGCCAGCCTCAGTTCTGCTTTTATCCTTTTGCTTCACCTTGGGCAAACAATTTAAAAGCATCTCCTGCCTTGCTGATGGATGGGGACAGGGCGGAGGAGCTGATTTCTGCTCTGCATCCCTCTCCCTTGACAGACACAAATACCACTTATTGATCAGGGACATTAGTGCCGTGCAAAATGTTGTCAGTGGGAAGAAAAGCTGTAAAGTGCATGATGGAATCTGAAAATGATTGCTGTCATCTTTGCTTTTAGGCTTTGATTGCAAAAGCAAAAAAAAATCTGGCCTAGGAAAGAGCAAGCACAGAGATAAAGGCAGCATCCCCGAGCTGCTCACACCTTTCACTGCTCCTTGCCAACACAAAAATAACAGGGCTGAAAGAAATGTCTTTTACCTCAACCAGCACAGAGAGGACAACTGCTAAGAGTTCAGTTAAACCTCAAATCCACCTCCCTTCTCCTTGTTAATGCTGAAGAAATAAAATCCACCGCAAACGTAAATATTGCTAAGCGTCAGGCAATCATTCTCCAGCCAGGAGCCAGCAGCTGTGCTGGAGTTTTGCAGGTTTTAGACAGAAAAAGTTCAGCTTTGGTATGGAAGTGTCTGTTAAAAGGCACTTTGCTGAAAGTTCCCCAGCTGGTCACTGTGTTTCTTGGGGCTGGTTTGTAACACTGGCTGGAAACAGTCAGGTACAGCCCGGCAAGGTGGGCAGCACCCGTCCCACGTGTCCCTGTCACAGGCCAGCGTGGCCCTTACAGAAGGTCCCTGTGCAGGGCCTGTGTGGTTTTGAGCCTCTGTGTGTGCAAAGGGAGAGTTATTTGGTGATCCTGGTTCAATAGCAGCAAATATCCTTTTTTCCCCCCACCCCCGGGTTTTACCAGCAGCCACCTGCTTCACAAAATACCGGTGACAAAAATCACTGAGCTCACATATCTCATTGTATTTGCACCTCAAATTACTCCGTCAGGAAACAATAAGAAAAGCCTTATAAAAGCAGCTCCAGAATTAGCAGAGATTTCTGGTTGGGAAACACAATCCAAATAATAATCCCAATAATAATCCCAATCAAAAAAAACACCAATCCAAATAAACTCCATGTCCCAAACCTGCACGACAACTAGCCAGGACTTTGCAAAACATCCCCAAACATCCCAGGTCAGGAGCGGTGCAAAAGGACATCATTTTCCAACCCAGCATTCCCTAAAATAGCCCCCCCCTCCCCACAAGATCAATGTTCCCCCTCCCCAAATAACTACCCAGGGACAAATACCATATATACACACAATATAGAGTAAACACAATATAGAACAAACCCCTCCATTCCTTTTAAGAACAACTCATCCTAAAGGAAAACTGATTTTCCTTACAGCTATAGGGTTATACTCCTGTGGGGTGACAGGAATAAATGATATTTATTCCAGTATAAATGAAGTCCACAGCTCACTCATATACGGGGTTATAGGCGCTGCTGAGAGACCAGATCTCCAAAGAACAAGCATTATCATCCTCTCTAAAGGGTATCTTCCCTTTAAAGGAAAACCTGGTATGAAAGGACCCCCAACAAACATTAACAGCACTTCATCTCCCTACCTCTTGGCTTGAGAATCCCGGAGCCGCAGTCTGCCCTCACCCTGATCTCAGTTTCTGCTCTGGAAATGGGTAAATAGTCAAAAATTGATTTCAACATGTCCCTCCCTCCTTCACTTCTCCTTTTAAACACGGGTTCCAGTGACTCTGCAAAACCAGGCTGTGCCTGCCAGAGTTTGGCAAGGCAGACAGCAAACGCACGGGGCAGGGGAGAGGAAGGTGGTTTCAAATGAGAGCAGGGATGGGTCCTGCTCCCCCTCCTCTGGGCTGCCCAGTTGGGGGAACACCCCCAGGGACCTTCGTGTGCTGCATGTGTTGGGATCACCAATTTCATACCCAGAAGGGGTATCAGGCACCTCCCCTCCTTGTCTCCTATGGGCCTTTCCAGTTATTTCTGCTCTAACCCCACATCTTTCCTTCTCGAGGTTCTCCCGAGCGTTCTGAGTGCACCTCACAAAAAAGAGGGTACGTGGGAAGAAGTGGGGGGACACAGCACCCCCCACCCCATTTGGGTCATCTTAGAAGGACGTCAAGGCAAAGCCCGTCCTTCTGGGAAGAGCAAAGGGGACTTCCAGCCACCCACGCTGGGTAGGGTGGTTGTGAAATCTGGATGTCCCCCAGGAACCCTGGGTGGGTTTGGAGCACGGGTTTGGCGTGAGACCTGCCAGCTCCACAGCAGGGATGTGTGAGGATGACTCCGGCCACGCTGCCCACGAGGCACTCAGCACTCCACTCACCCAGGAGGGGCTTCATCAGCCAACCCCAGCCCCTCCAGAGGAAACACTGCTGTGAGGTCAAGCTCTCAGAGCTGCTCCAGCTACCCAAGGAGCTGGCTGGGTCCCAATGGAGGAAGCACAGCGTGTCCTGCCCACCCTGACCCACTTCCCTGCTGTCCCCCAGGGACCCAGAGCACAGGGCTGACCTGCCCAGACACCATCAAACACTTCGTCTGGCTCCCTGCACGGCAGCACAAGGCAGGGGGAGAGCACAGCCCCCCTTGAAGCAGTCTGCCTTGTCCTTTAGGAGGTCACAATCTTCATCTATAGACCTGGATGTCATTTATTTGCCTCGCAGGGCCCCGTGACAGCTTTACAGTGTGTTCTCCATCACTGCCACGTGCTACCTGTACACAGCAAATATTTCTTCCACCTCCCTCTCCTGGTGAGATTAATTCAGTGTTGGCCACTGGATTTATCATTCCCTCACCGCAGGGACAGGAAAGGTGGGACACAGATTTCAAGGCCATTTCATCTGCTGGTTTGGGGCACTGAGGTCAGAGTAGCAGGACCTACAGCACATGCATGAGCCAAGAGGGGACCAGGGTGGATGCCTGTGAAGGTAGAAGAACACGGGGCTGACCAGGCACGCCCCATGGGGCATATTCAGCAGCTTTGTGC